ACCGACTTGCTTAGTAAATATAAGTTCGAATCTCCTCCCAAGCGTAGGCTTGAACCTCAATTCTTAGAGGTGCCACCTAGCTCGGCTCAGATAGCTTCTCCGATTCCCTCGCTATTAAATGGAGATGTGTCGCCGGCAATTTCATTGTCTACTTCGCCTGGAAATTTATTTGAAATTTCCCCTCTGCCTTCGCCGGCTCATGTTATGTTGGCCCCGTTGGTAGTTCCTCCCGTGCCTAATATATCTAAACCTGTAAGAACAAGGGCTTCTTCTAAAACGTCGGCACCACCTCCTATAGTTTCTTCAGGAGCTGTAGAATGTGCGGCAGTCCCAGCCCTTCCTCTGCCCCCGTTAAATCTAGATGCTTTAAAAAGTATAAGCAGTCGGGCCTATCTATTGACTTCTATAAATACTCTTTAGCGAAATCCAATTTTGCTCTCCTTAATTCACAATGTTACAATAATTACCTTGCCCGATGCAAGATTCAATTTGCACAGGACCCTAAACAATTCTATAAGTTCGTTAACTCTAAACGTAAATCTGCTTCCCTTCCTTCGTCATTTTTCCTTAGTGACAAAAAAGCCAGCAACGATTCTGAAGCTGCTGACTTGTTTGCCAACTTCTTCCAATCAACATATTCCTCTGTCTCTATTAGTAATACCTCTTATCCTTATAGCATTTCATCTTCCCACACTATTTACGCTCCCATAATTTCTGATAGCTGTCTGCTCTCTGCTATCAAATCCTTAAAATCTTCATACTCTCCTGGAGCAGAAAACATTCCTAGTTGTGTTCTCAAGGAGTGTTCTAGTTCCCTTTTACAACCATTACTTAAACTTTTTAATCTGTCACTTGGTTCCTCAATCTTTCCAACTATTTGGAGAGAATCTTTTATTATTCCTCTTTATAAAAAGGGTGGTAAGTCTGATATTTCAAACTACAGAGGAATTGCAAAGTTGTCTGCCATACCAAAATTATTTGAAAAAATAGTTTGCAGCACTTTGGAGCACCTCTGTAAATCTGTCATATCTCCAGCTCAACATGGATTCATGAAGAGACGGTCTACTACGACCAATTTGCTGGAATTTACTTCCTTGGTAAATGAAGCATTTATTCTAAAAATGCAGACTGATGTCGTTTACACTGACTTCAGTAAAGCATTTGACTCTGTGAACCATGATCTTCTGCTCTTTAAGCTAAGTCGTATAGGATTTCCCTCCGCTTTTTTGAGTTGGATTTCGTCTTATCTAAAAGAGAGATCCCAACGGATCTTGCTTAGGTCGCACATTTCTTAACCCGTGTTTGCATCATCAGGTGTGCCTCAAGGTAGCCATCTTGGCCCCTTACTTTTTACATTATTTATTAATGACCTCCCCTCTACCTTATCACACTCTCATATTCTTATGTATGCTGATGATGTGTAACTTATTCTGACTTATAAAGAATATACTCATTCTCATCGCCTGCAGGATGATCTGAACTGCATGCAATCGTGGTGCTTAGCTAACCACTTGTACCTCAATTGCGCTAAGTGTAAGTTCATGACATTTCACCGAACTTTGCCCCATTTAGTTACGTATACGATTGACAATGTGCCATTGCAACGTATATCAACTGTTGAAGACCTTGGGGTTCTTTTTGATTCCAAATTGAACTTCAACCTTCACATATCTAGTATTGTCAATAAGGCTAATGGGTTACTTGGATTCATTAAACGTTGGTCCAAGGAATTCAATGACCCATATACCACTAAGCTTCTTTACACTGCACTAGTACGCCCTGTGCTTGAATACTGCTCATGCGTTTGGTGTCCGCAGTATAGAAAGCAACAGGAACGTATTGAGTCTGTTCAGAAGCAATTCCTTCTTTTTGCTCTACGTGGCTTAAGCTGGGATCCCGTTCCGTTCCTTGTAGACCAACAAGGAATTATTTGCCATTCGTCTTGTCTAGGTGCACAACCGATTACGCTGCGCACAATCGTTTTCGAGTCATGTGTTCCAATTATAATGAGCTTTCTCATTTACTTTCAACAGAACTCTCTCTTTATTCTATAAAAGTTCTTCTTTATAGTTATCTCCGTGGAAATCTCTGACCACATACTGCTGTGAGTCGGGGCATAGCTGGCCGGACTGGCTTAAAACTTTCCCCCACCGGGTTGGAGATTTCCCTCTTTCTCCTTTTGTCTTTCTTGTTCCATCTTTCTCTTTCCCAGTTTCTCTTCTTCTTCCTTTCTCTCCCTCTTTACCTCTGTCTCTTTCTACTCCTTACTTTTTCTAATTAGCTCCTAAGTAGAATTAATTTTCCTCTTCTACATACTATTTGTTTAGATTTTCAGGTCTATAATGTCTCTGACCACATATGGCTGTGAATCGGGGCATAGCTGGCCAACTGGCAAATAAAATTCCCCCAACGTGTCGGGGGCATTTATAGACGTTATTGTACAGCTTTTTTGTAGGCTTTCTTATCTTATAAGTTCAGACTTTGTTATATTAATCATATTTGTGTTTTTAATTTTAAATCTTAATATATATATAATATGTTAATACATATATATTGTTTTTGAATAAATCGACAGAACTACTTGTTGATTTAAATAAATAAATAAATATGATATATATGTACATTCATGCACCAGGGAAAATGGGGAAAAACCACGTAAGCAGTGTTTATACTCTGTACATGAAATGGGAGAGGGGGAAGGAGGGAAATTCCAAAATATACATTTTTTACATATACTGTTTTCTTTCTCTCTGATCCTGAAGGCGTTGGGAACGCTCAGAGCTCGATTCTCTAATGCGAGCTTGTACATTTCTAATATTTTTATCTTCAAGCCTCTGCAAACATTCCAAATGTCACGGGTTTAGGAGTTCCTCAAATTTTGCTCAGCAAGCCGCTGCGAACGCTCGAAGTTCGACTCTGTCGAGCGGGCTTGAGAAATCCTGAAATTTTCTTCAGCAAGCCTCTGCGAACGCTTGATACTCGACTCTGTCGGGCGGGCTTGTGAGGTCCTCAAATCTTGAACGCGATTGCGACGCTTATTCTCTCTGGCTTGCAAGACGATTTTCTGTTTCTGTTGAAGATTCTCCACTACGACGTCTTCTTGAAGCCCTCGCTTGGGAACTATTTAGAGAAAGTTGCGATCTTGTTCTTTTGGGCATTTTAAAATGATAAAACAAGACAGAACGCTACAGTCGAGCAAGCCCGACAGTAAAATAGCCTGTACTCTCCACAAAAAGGAAAAATTTAAAAAAAAAATTTTTTTTAATTAAATTATTAAAAAAAATTAATGAATTAATTAATTAAAATTAATTAATTTAATTAAATTAGAATACATGTTTATGTTCAGTTTTAACAGCATACATTTACATCACGTACCTATGTGTGTTTATATGCGTGTATGTATGCAGCACAAATTTGAACAAAAGCAGCAACAACAACAACAGCTGCGGGCAGCGCTGCCGACAGAGCTGCAGGCAGCGCATGAGCAGCGATTTTACTTATGGCTATAACTTTCTTCAGAACAGGGCTATATCGGACAGGACAGGGCTATATCGACTCGTCTTCTCATCCTGATCAAGAATATATATACTTTGTGGGGTCTGCCACACCTCCTTCTGTGTGTTACATACATGCGCACAAAACTAGTATAGCCTTTCACCCTTTGGGTACAGGCTATAATAAAATAGCCTGTACTCTCCACAAAAAAAAAAAAAAAAAAAAAAAAAAACAAATTACCGCGAACTGGATATATATGCCAAATTTGAGTTCAAAATTCCGGAGTTAGGAAAAACACGAATTGCGGGGGAGTGGGGGGGGGTGTAGCAGAAAAAAAAACACAAACTCGATCTGCCTGGGGCTTAGGGGAACCTGAATGCCAAGTTTGGTTATCCTAGCTATTGTACTTGCTGAGATCGTTGCGCTCATACAGACAGACAGACATGGCTAAATCGACTCGGCTTGTCACCCTGATCAAGAATATATATACTTTGTGGGGTCTGCCACGCCTCCTTCTGTGTGTTACATACATTCGCACAAAAAAAGTATAGCCTTTCACCCTTTGGGTACAGGCTATAAAAACAAACTTGACCAGCTTAGGGCCTGGATACCAAATTTGGTAACTCTAGCTCTGAGATCCTAGCGCTCTTACAGACAGACGGAAGGACGGACATCCTGATCAATAATACATATACTTTGTGGGGTCTGTCACGCCTCCTTCTGTGTGTTACATACATTCGCACAAAACTAGTATAACCTTTTACCCTTTGGGTACAGGCTATGTCTGTAATTTTACTTTTTTTATAACTCATAGCTAAATGAAGGGTGTATTTATGTTCATGTTTGAGTGAGGGTGTTATAAAATTGATATTATTTAAGACTTTGTAAAATACCCGTGCGAAGCAGGGGCAGGAAACTAGTTTCAATATAAAATTCATTATTTTATATACTACTGAATATAGATAGTCATAGGGGGAAATAATACCTTTAGTTAATTTAAAACCATAGATTTCGTAAAATGATGCAAGAAGTCTGCAAGCCAAATGGGTGGATCCGGTCTGCCGCAAACCAACAGCAAGAGCTGTTGTTGCGGAAGCGAATACTTACAAATCTCGGGACGCCGTGGCAGCTTAAAACAATTACAAGTGGCGAGCTGAAGCAGTTAATCAAGGAAACGAGCATGCGGGAACAGTTGACGGCCCCATCTACGTCGCAGGTGAACCGAACTGAGCGAAAAAGAGGAACTGTCAGATGGGCAGCATAGGACGAGGCAGCATAGGACGAACGAATTGCTGCCTGAAACAAATGGCGGTAAATATAGCGGCATTAGAGGCGACTGGCTTGAAAGTGGCACTACTGCTTTTTGGAAAAGTTTTTGAGTGCAGAGCCTTTCTATTCAATAGACCCCTCGAAGTGGCCATGAAAATAAATGGCAAACTTGGTAATGAGCACCAAGACAAGGCGTTAAAAGCCCTGTTTAAATTTTTAAAGGAAAAGATTTAATGTATGCCAAGTTTAATTTTTATTTATTTTAAGGAGCATAAAAAGTACGGGTTACAATTGGCTAATTTTCAAGTGTTATAAAATTACCAAAAATAATATATGTATGTATATTTTTATTGCGTTTCTAAAAATTAATAAATTAAAAACGTTTAATTGTTGGCGCATTCCCAACCTTGCGCTTTTAGAATTCTAGAACTAATTAACGTTTGAAATGATTTTATGAATAAACAATAAGCCTATAAAACATACCAAATACGGGTCAAGCATAAAATCTCATTACATAATAGAACACAATCCAGAAGTATCGACGCCACTTTGCACTCTTCTAGTTTTTTTTAGTGTAGCATTACGGAGAGTGGGTTTCAAATCAAATAAATTCTGAACTGGTGGTGGAGTTTTCACTTTTGCAGGCGCTGATGCTGTTGTGACAGCCACTATTGGCGTTGATGCTGTACCCGACTTCGTAAAGCGCGAGGTATTGCTGTAGCTGCTGCCGATGACGGAAATGGAGCTGATGTTAACAGGTGAATTTGAACTGATAGTACTCGTGATCTTTGGAACAAATGTGTTGCCGCTGCACAATACTGGAATCGTTGAAATGGTTTCTATAGCATTGACCTGACCATCAGAGTCGACCGCAATGCCGCCACCACCGATGACGGTAATAGCGGAAGCAGTGGCAGGTTCTGCTGTTTTTTGTAAATTGGATGTTGCATCTGATGTGCCGGCTGTTAAAGATATTGCTGTTATGGTGTTGTTATTATTGGAGGCACTATTATTACTATTACTACTAGTATTCTTAGTGATATTAATTTTTATTTTATTAACTATGCTAGCCAAAGGTAACGCCAGCAATGGTCCCGATGCACTTAAATTGTGAATTTCCTGCCGATCGTTGTTGCCGTCGATGGAAGAATTCAAGTCGTGCGCTTGTTCCAACTCAAGCTCATCAGTCTTAGATTGCAACGCTAGCGATCCCGTCGAAGGTGGTCTATCGAGCGTCACAGGTGAAGCAGACGATGCTATTGTTTGAGTTAGTGTTTCTTTATGGCACCATAAAGAATAAACCAAAGAATATAAAGTCAGCAAAAGAAGGTAGTACCAGGGTCCCATTACTCACCACTACTATCCATATATATTTCGTCTTCGGTTGGCGGCTGCAGAATTACCGTGCCGACATCTTCGAAGCCGTCGTCCTCATCTTCCTCATCTTCCTTGGGCTCTTCTTTAATTTTTACATTTAAAAAAGCAGCCTTTACTGAGTCATCCATTGGCGGCAGTTCCTTCTCAACATACGTGTCCAGATCAGTAAATGGAATGTGGGGTTCCTGTATCTCTACATCCGATTCGGCGGCAGATTCGTTTTGAGATAGCGGTGGTCTATCTTCTTCACTTGAGCTTTGCGATTTTGCGCTCATTTTCTCATCAGTAGCATTAACGGGCACATATTCGTCATCATCATCAACAATTTCTGTTACACTGGGCTCCTCATTGGGCAGTACAATGACATCGTCGTCATCTTCATCAACATTGTTTACCTCTCGATCTTCTACAAATTGAATGAGAAAATTATTTGTTTTTTTATAGGCCGAACTTTCAGCCAATTGTTTTACCTACCGCTGACTTTCTGGTCAACACTTTCCATTTTTATGAGTGCATCAGTGGCATTATCGTCGGCATTGTTTAATTCCACATTTACTGATGTATCAGCTTCGACAGATTTCACGTTTAGTGGGTTCAATGAAGATTTGTAGTCGTCATAGCACAAAGGATGATATATTTTTCCATCCACACGAATGCCTGCCCGTAAGTGCCATTCCTCGAGCTCCTCGTTGTAGAACTGTTCAAACTTCTCGTGGCACATATCGCAAGCGCGATCAACATCATCGGCACTCGCCGCACAGCTAGGCATGGGCGAGTCCATGGAACGTTGATTCGACAATTCGTCCGCAACTTCAGTTTGTAGGAGGGGTGTTTCCATAAAGTTTTTCTCACGTTCATCAATATCTTCGATTTCCTCATATTGCATCCAGTCAGTGAGATCATAATACCATTTGCGTGATGTGGCCTTGCGGGTCGGGTCGCGTTCGCGTCGATTCTGCCGAAAGTGCCAGTCCAAGTGTTGGCTATATTTTATGGTCTGCTCTGGTGGAAAGCGTAGCCCACAGCTGCTGCACTGCATTCCGAGATAAAGTGCTGTTACGACGCCCGACTGGCGCTTCTTTATGGTTTCAGGCTTGTTAAGCTCAACGCGTTTAATAGGCCCAGAAGTTGCGGTCGCTACAGACACTTCTGAGGAACCAGTTCCTTTGGCTGCTTGCGCTGAGTCGTCAATAGTTACTGCTGGTGCACTGACTGATGTGCTAGAAGAAGTCGTGGTACCTATGATGCCTGACGATATGAGCTTTTGAAAAAGCTCATCAATGTTAAGACTAACTGGCAGCTGAACACTTGAAGCTTTTTCAATAAGATGTTTGTCCATATTTGCTATTGTTGGTTGTAATAAATGTGACTCTACTGGCGCATCAGTCTTAATGTAGATCATGTCTTGCACGTGAGTCTTTCCAGCCACTACACCTACAGGTAGGGTGCCAAATCGTATGAAATATTTGCGTCCACTCAAACTGAAGCTTTTGGGCAACCCACCGTAGTCGACCTTCAATAGTTTCCCGTCCAACAATACATAAAGGAAACTGTCCGTAAATTGAAGCTGATGTGGCTCAGTTCCTAATTGAAACGTCTGTACTTTGGCATCTAAAAACAGTGGAACAATATTATGCGCATCCACAATCATGTTGATTTTTCCAGCGACAAGGTCTCGTCGCACCTTGCCAATGTCAACATTGGGCGGCGGACCTTCTGCCTTTAGCACGTGAAGCTTGTTCCCAATGGGCAGAGAAATGGGCGGACCACCGAAGTAGATCTCGTACCAATGATCATCAATGTAGAGCTCACGTGAGGGAAACCCAAAGCGTATGCGATGTAATTGTCCGTCTAGCGTAAAGGTTTTGTACTCATCGTTGAAGCTCAGCGGAAGCGGCTCGTTGTGGTCAATGCAAATAGCACGCTGACCATTCTGAAAGCCGATCTCGTGTGGCTCATCTTTATCCATAAATATTATTGCGACTTGATTATAGAAGCGTATCTCTTTCGTGCCACCGTCGATCGTAATGCTTCGCACCACATCTGTCATGGGATTGTCCAGCGAATTAATCGCCTTGGTCAGCGCTGGTGGCAGCGGAGGTAAGGCAATCATCGAGGGTGGCTGCGGAGGTGGCGGTATATTGCTGGCTGAACCAGCGAAACTTGCTAGTTCAACAGAGGTTACGGATGCTACAACCGGCGCTGTTGTTGTAACCATGGAAGGTAAGCCAGTAAACGGCTGCTGCCAAGGCGTGGCGACTAGCATCCGCATATTTGAGTTATTTACATTCCCCCGAAAACTGCCCACAGAGCGTTTATTGTTACCTCCACTTACAGATGGCGTATGCGAATTGTTAGCCAGCCAAGCAGCACGTTGAACCGTGTCTACCTGTTCACCCCATTTCGAAGGTTTCCGTCGCTTGCTTTCAAGCTTTGTGTTTGACTTTTGCTGTCCACCAGGCTCTTTATCTGGAATTTGGCGCTGTGGGTCGTCATATATAGAAGCTTCACTTCGGAGCGAGCACTCGTTACGTTGAGTCTCGCTGTTTTTCAGCTTGGGTATACGTTTTTTGAGCACCGCATCACGTGCTGCATTACGTTCGCGCGTTTCGTAATTCATTTCATCGGATGCTGGCTCGCATCGATTGGTTCCTTTGAGCTTGCTGTTCTCATTTATAGCCAGTACTTTCTGCAACAGATCCCTGTACTGTTCTTGATTGATGGCACTGCTTTCGTACATTTCCCGTGCTTGTGTCAGTATGGTGCGCACCTTTTCTTCATGAGCCTCTTGAGAGTCATCATTTAACTTCGTTACTCCAAACTGTTGTGGGCGTTGTGTTGTATCGCTGGTAAGTTGACCTGAGAATAATATTTGTATTATTGATAAAAAGTAACGGTTCTTTAGTTCATTAGTTAAATCAAGTTGAAAAGCTAAAGTAGGGTACCCTGCCTTTGAAATGTTTATGCCTGTCTGTGTGTTAGCATGTGCACAGTATAAAGTTGAGACAAAGCAACAACATCAACAGCAGGTGCGGGTAGAGCTTGCGCAGAGATTACATTTATGGCACCAACTTCCTATCCAATTGACTAATCATGATAAATACGGCATGCTCATAAGAAGATATATGCAAAATTGGAGTCAAAAATTCCAAGAATTACGAAGGAAGATTAGGAATTAGGGAAGGAAAATCCAATATACACACTTTCTGCGTATTCACATAAGGCATCTGGGACTAAAATTTGGTGTCGCTATCTTTTAGTCTCTGAGATATAGGCGATTATACGAATGGAAAATCAGGAAATCCCTCACGAGATCAAGAATATATATACTTTTGGGGGTCTGCCACACCTCCTTCTGCCTGTAACATTTTTCAGCTCCCGCAAACCTACTACACTCTTGTACATTTCATGTACAGAGTATAATTAAAATAAAAATTTAAAAAATGTAATTAATTAATTAAATTAATTATAAAATATTTAACACATGCATACAGACATAAGTGTTTATGCACAATTTCAACAGCATAAATTAACATCAGAATCGTGTCTATGCGTGCTTGTATGCAGTTAACAAGAGAGAACGCTACAGTCGAGTAAGCCCGACAGTAAAATACCCTGCACCCTCCACAAAAAGGAAAGATTGAAAAAAAAAATTTTTTTTAAATTAAATTATTAAAAAAAATGAATGAATTAATTTAAAAAAATAAAATAAATTAATTAAATTAAATTAGAATACATGTTTATGTTCAGTTTTAACAGCATACATTTACATCACGTACCTATGCGTGAGAATTACGGAAGTTATAAGAAAAACACGAATTGCGGGGGAGTGGGGGGGAGGGGGGGGGGGGTGTATCAGAAAAAATAAACAAACTCGATCTGCCTAGGGCTTATAGGAACCTTGATACCAATTTTGGTTATCCTAGCTCTTGTACTTACTGAGATCCTTGCGCTCATACAGACAGACGGACAGAGAGACAGACAGACGGACATGACTATATCGACTCGTCTTGTCATCCTGATCAAAAATATATATACTTTGTGGGGTCTGCCACGCCTCTTTCTGCCTGTTACATACATTCGCACAAAACTAGTATAGCCTTTTCAAAGTCTTTCACACTTGATTTAACTTCCAATCAGTTAACTGATTATGATAATATGTAGGTATACATATTTTACACACCTTCTTTACTCAATTTGTTGTTGGTGTGAACAGTTTTGGCTAGCTTAGCGCGCAGTGCATCAAACAATGGATCCTTGTCTTGTGGTGAAATTATTTGCTTTGCGTCCTGAAAATTATAAGCATTTCAATGAATTGTTTTCTATATTTGTAACATTACACTTGCCATTCGATTGTCCCAATTCTCCATAGAATCATCTTCAACCAAAATGACTGAGTTAGTCCCTGACTTAAAATCAGCTGCCGGCATCTCTTTGCGAAGGTCCACGTCTTCACTCCCAAAAAGCCTAATCGTTCAATGTGAATTAGCATTAAAAAATTTAAACTCTTTTGTTTTAACTACTTACGCATCCAGTTTTGATGACCTACTGCGTTTTTGTTGAGGTTGCTCCTCCACTAAGACAGTAGAGGTGCGTTTTTCACTGCTTTGCACATTCGCGGTGTGTAATTTATTATTATTCTGCTTGACATCACATACATTACCCTGTAATAACGTTGTAGTTTGCGCCTTTCCGCTTGATGCACTATTTGACGGTGATGCTGTTGTGGTTACCAGCAATGCTGTTGATAAATGTGCTGTAGATTTTTCAAATTTATTTAGTGGTTTTTGTATTTTGAACGACACTTTTGTAGGCAATTTGGAACTAGTCGCAGTACTAGCAGTTGCAGTAATTGCGTTTGTGATGATTGAGTTGGTGAATGCTGTTGTAACATCCATCGTTGGAAAAGCAGTTTGTTGCAGTGGCGTTAGCATCGTTTCGGCAGTTTCCGAACTGGCAACTATCGGCCGCAAATCAACGTCCATACTTGAAGCCTCTAAGTTTGAAGGATGTCCTGGTTCAAGTATTTTAAATTTATCTAAAAATTTATTTCAGCTGAAGTTGTGTATACAAAGAAACATGTGCGACATATGCTTGGCCTATTAACATAAAACATTCGGAAAATAATATTTATACAAAGAGGAAATCTTTACGATAAAAACGGATGCCAATAACACCACGCACAACAAAATCACTAAATAATTTTAAATCATGAAAATGTTATGAAAAAGCAAAAACTAAAAATGCCTAGAACAAAAAGTGTCGTTCTGAGAATACAAAAAATAAGTAAATATATGTAAGTATGTATATTGGCCTTTAAAAAGAAAGCCAAAGACGACATTTGTTAAATTAAAGAATACATTTATAAAACATTATATGTGTCATGATTAAGATTAATCTATTCATAGTATAATTTTGTAAAATTATTATATATATACATATATATATATAATAATTTATATATATATATATATATATATATATATATATATATATATATATATATATATATATATATATATATATATATATATATATATATATATATATTTTTTTTTTTTTTTTATGTGTTAACAAAAAATAAAACTGCAGTGTTCATTTCTTAATTTTCTGATAATTTATGAACATTCATATACAACAATTTAATTATAGTCTTTCTTACATTTACTCAAAGTAAATAAACCTAAAATTACACCAAAGACGGCACATGGCAATGCTTTTAATTGGAAAATTTTAATAAAAACAATGAAATACATTTAACAATGTTTTTATTACAGTACGATTTTTTATATTTTAAAAAGTTTTCACTTAAAATATATATAGATTTTTTAACGGGTATTTAAATTCAAATATGTTTGAAAATTAAAAAAAAAAATGAGTCAAATTTAAGACGCCTTTAAAAGCTTCTAATAAATAAATTGGCTAAAGAATATCAGTAATTGACAAAATATCTTCGAGTTCTGTAAAACAAATCATTCCGTGCGCTAGTGGCAAAATGATTCTACTATTTGAGCGCACTTGAATACATTTGTTTTATTTGCATTCTAGCAGGTAATATACAATATATTTTGTTAAAGGAGCCATACCACAAACACAATTGACACAATACTCGCGCCCACTTTTAACCACTTTAACATTATTTTTTTACTTGCGAGACCTTTATATTAGGGAAGGCAATTGTCGTCTCGTGATTATCAAAAATACTATATCATACTTTTGACTGTCTTGCTTTTCTTCATGTTACATACATAAATTCATGTAAATCATTATTGAGTTTTGTTTAATTTGTTTGGCATTCACATAGTCTTGAACATAACATTGAAGAATAACTTTTGGAATTTTATAATACAATTTTAAGTGCTAAGCTAATCAATTGGGGGCCAGAATTAAAACAGAATAGTAAATTATATGATAACAAACAACTTGTCGACGTAGCTTAAACGGATATTATGAAATCGTTTAGTTTTTGTAATACGACAACTGAAAATTGGATAAGATAAGCTATAACACAAAAGATATTCCGCAATTAGCTGAAAGTCCATACGGTCTTGTATATAGCTACCCGATTGTTTTCACAATGGATTTCCTGCAGCAATAAGAAGCCAGTAACAACAACACACTCTGGCAAAGCATAAGCTTCTTAAAACTGGCAGAAATGGCTATTTCTATTCATACTAATCAAGAATATAGGGCAGAGACATTTTTGGACAGACATTTTTTTGGTCTAAGCAGTGCTGGGGATGAAATCTACATATTAGGTTTGCGCATTTAGTATAAAACAAAAATCTTTGATATTTAAAAAAGAAAGTAATTTTTCTTTAAGCGTTTAAAATTACATTTTAAATTCAGTTTAATAATATTTAAAAAATTATAATAAAAAAGAAATAAATGAATATTTTTCAAACGAAATAATGGACCTGATCAAATTCAAAAAACTATATTTCTATTTCAATATACTTCTGTTTTTAGCGTTAATTTTCTTAGATATGTTCTCCATTACTATTAATTAGTCTTAATATGCGATCTGACAATGAAATAACCAAGTGTTGAAGAAGTAATCCGTAGCATTTAGCCCACTCTGTTACGACTGCTTCTAAGCCTGAATCAAAGTCAAAACTCACTTATTTAATTTTTTTAATCACAAATCCCAAAAATTTGATGAAAAGGGCTCTTGAATGACAACAAAGAAGGAATAATAAAGCAGCGGGCAGGCTCAACTCTTAATGTGTACCTCTCACCAAAAAGGAAAAAATTAAAAAAAATTTGTATACTCTGCACATAAAATGTACAAGAGTATATTAGGTTTGCGGGAGCTGAAAGTGTAACAGGCAGAAGACGGCGTGGCAGACCCCACAAAGTATATATATTCTTGATCAGCATGACGAGACGAGTCGATCTAGCCCTGTCTGTCTGTCCGTATAAACACCTGGATCTCAGAGACTATAAGAGCTAGAGACACCAAATTTTGCACAAAGATGCGTTATGTGTGTAAGCTGTGCAAGTCTGTTTTATTTTTTTTGATTTTCTCGATATTCCATTCGTATAATCGCCTATATCTCGGAGACTATAAAATCTACGGACACCAAATTTTAGTGCCAGATGCCTTATGTGAATACGCAGAAAATGTGTGATTTGGAATTTCCCTTCCTCCCCCCTCTCCCATGCAAATTTCGATTTTGTCTCAATCCCGTAATTCTTGGAATTTCGAAATACCAAATTCGGGAAATACCTCCAGTTAGTAATTATGTGTCCGTATGCCAAGTTTCATCATGATAGACCGATTTAACAAGAAGTTATAGCCATCAATATATTCGCTACTACAGCGCTGCCCGCGGCTGTTGTTGATGCTGGTGCTTTGGTTGACTGCTAGCATGTTTACACAGACACGAACATACGAGCATAAACATACATACACTCGCATAGACGCAATTGCTTTGTATATGTGCAATTATACACCCCTTACGTGAGTTCGAATACCAAAAGAGGTAAAATCGATCAATTTTTTTTAAATTTTCTTAATTTTTTTAATTTCTATAATTATTCTAAACATACAAGTATGTACAGAGTATTTCAAAGTCGGAACACCCGACTATAGCTTTTTTACATCAATGGCTTGAATTATGATGACTCGGCGTTGGAATACGAAGAAGAAAGCCAACTATCGACACCGATTTTCGAAAACATAAAAATAAATAACAACATCGATAAAACCTACACAACTTCACCTGACTTCATTTGATTCCAACGAGTAGCCGGTAAGGGGTGAGCCACCCGTGTACCATGGGAAGCCCATTTGAAACCAGAGGAGATTGCGCTCCCCCTCAGGCACGTATCCATCGGCCTAAGCTGTTCCTCCTTGGATTGGGGACATTTTTATAGAGTTTTCAGCTCTCACCCAAATACTATTAGTCAGCACTACCGGGAAGAGACATGACCGTGCCGGGAACCTGCTTCCAGCCGCTCTCACGAGGAGAGTATAGCCCCACTACAAGTGGTGTATCACAATTACGACGCGTACCACCTGACTTGATGGTTATACGTGATCCACTTGTGATACCCATTGACTGACCGCCAAAATCTATAGTTAAAACACTAGCATTTACACAGCATCCATAACTACCAAGCAATGGAGATGCTCCTTGAAAACAAGAGAGTACACTACAGTCGAGCAAGCCCGACAATGAAATAGCTTGTACTAACTCCCACACCAAAACTACAATTTTTATACTCTGTACATGAAATGTACAGAAGTATATTAGGTTTGCGGGTGCTGAAAAATGTAACAGGCAGAAGGAGGCGTGGCAGACCCCACAAAGTATATATATTCTTGATCAGCATGACGAGACGAGTCGATCTAGCCCTGTCTGTCTGTCCGTCCGTCCGCCTGTCCGTCCGTATGAACACCTGGATCTCAGAGACTATAAGAGCTAGAGACACCAAATTTTGCACAAAGATGCGTTATGTGTGTAAGCTGTGCAAGTCTGTTTTATTTTTTTTGATTTTCTCGATATTCCATTCGTATAATCGCCTATATCTCGGAGACTATAAAATCTACGGACACCAAATTTTAGTGCCAGATGCCTTATGTGAATACGCAGAAAATGTGTGATTTGGAATTTCCCTTCCTCCCCCCTCTCCCATGCAAATTTCGATTTTGTCTCAATCCCGTAATTCTTGGAATTTCGAAATACCAAATTCGGGAAATACCTCCAGTTAGTAATTATGTGTCCGTATGCCAAGTTTCATCATGATAGACCGATTTAACAAGAAGTTATAGCCATCAATATATTCGCTACTACAGCGCTGCTCAAGCGCTGCCCGCGGCTGTTGTTGATGCTGGTGCTTTGGTTGACTGCTAGCATGTTTACACAGACACGAACATACGAGCATAAACATACATACACTCGCATAGACGCAATTGCTTTGTATATGTGCAATTATACACCCCTTACGTGAGTTCGAATACCAAAAGAGGTAAAATCGATCAAAAATTTTTTTTTTGGTTCTCTTACTTTTTATAGCCTGTACCCAAAGGGTGAAAGGCTATACTAGTTTTGTGCGCATGTATGTAACACACAGAAGGAGGCGTGGCAGACCCCACAAAGTATATATATTCTTGATCAGGATGAGAAGACGAGTGGATATAGCCTTGTCCGTCCGTCCGTCTGTCTGTCCGTCTGTCCGTATGAACGCAAGGATCTCAGAAAGTATAAGAGCTAGAATAACCAAACTTGGTTTCCATATTCTCCTAAGACCGAGAAAGTACGAGTTTGAGTTTTTTTCGATGCACCCCCCCACTCCCCCGCAATTCGTGTTTTTTCTTATAACTTCCGTAATTCTCGGAATTTTGAAATCAATTTTGGTAGGTACATCCAGTTAGTACTAATGTGTCCGTATGCCAAATTTCATCATGATAAGTCAATTCTGAAGAAAGTTATAGCCATAAGTAAAATCGCTGCTCATGCGCTGCCTGCAGCTCTGTCGGCAGCGCTGCCCGCAGCTGTTGTTGTTGTTGCTGCTTTGGTTCAACTTTGTGCTGCATACATACACGCATATAAACACGCATAGGTACGTGATGTAAATGTATGCTGTTAAAACTGAACATAAACGTGTATTCTAATTTAATTTAATTAATTAATTTTAATTAATTAATTCATTCATTTTTTTTAATAATTTAATTTTTTTTTAAATTTTTTTGTTTGTTAAATTTTTTCATTTTTGTGGAGAGTACAGGCTATTTTACTGTCGGGCTTGCTCGACTGTAGCGTTCTATCTTGTTTTAATTTCTATAATTATTGTAAACATATGTACAGAGTATTTCAAAGTCGGGACACCCGACTTTAGCTTTTTTACTTGTTTTTTAATATATTTTTAAAAATTATATTAAATAAATTATATAATTAAATTAAATACAAATTATTCAATACATATATACAAAAGTGGAGACATGTTTATGTACAGTAGTTTCAACAGCATACATTTACATCAGAATCGTGTCTCTCCGTGTATGTATGCAGCACAAAGTTGAACCAAAGCAGCAACAACAACAGCTGCGGGCAGAGCATGGGCAGCGATATTATTTATGGCTATAGAATTGATGAAACTTGGCATACAGACATATAATCACTAACGGGATGTAATTGTCAGTTCAAAATTCCAAGAATTAGGGGGGTTATGAAAAAAAAAAAAACGAATTTCGTTGGAGTGGGGTGTGTGTGTTTGTGTGTATCAGAATAAAAAAATAAACTTGACCTGCCTAGGGCTCAGGGGAACCTGGATACCAAGTTTGGTCACTCTAGCTCTTGTACCTTCTGAGATCCGTGCGCTCATACAGACAGACGGGCATGGCTATATCGACTCGGCTTGTCATCTTGATCAATAATATCTATACTTTGTGAGGTCTGCCACGCCTCCCCCTGCCTGATACACACAATCGCACTGAACTAGTATACGCTCTCACCCTTTGGGTACAGGGTATAAAAACTGATATGATCAGCTCAATTATTTCGTTGTGAGGCAGCAAACATTTTCGATAGAAATTACGGATATCTGCTTCACGTTTTTGTTTTAAGCAACAAAATTAGTTGAAAGCAAACTATGCAAAAAATGAAGTGGAAAACGTAAATGGTAAATCTGTGGCATTACATTATAAGCTTGGTAAGGTGATCTTATATCATTATATTAAAAACTGATGAATAAATAACTTTTCAGTATAAATTGGAACAAAATACCATAATGCGAGCGCTGTTGTCGAATCTGGTCTGTTTTATCAATCGTAATTTGAAAATGGCGACCATAGAAGACATACAGAAGAATTACATTCTTATACAGTATAATGTTTGGAGCATGACTATGGATGAATAAAGCTTATATTATAAGACACATCTGAGGATATATAGATTGGCGCACAGCAAAGTAACTGCTTAATTAGTTTGAATTTTTGCAGAATAAATGCAAACAATATTTAGCCAGCTACTGATTAACTTTACACATCTGTTCAAGGGCGGGAGCGTTTCGCTCACCACAAAAAAGTCGTATAAAGTCGTTCATTTTTATGGCGCACTATTTCGCCTTAAAATGGAACTGAGTTGAATTTGTTGATTTTGTTTTTCATTGATCATATGCATAAATTATTTTTTAAATGCATCGTGCATTATTTAATCAACATTTTAACTTTTTGTCCCCCCTCTTTGGTAAAAGCTGCGTACACCCTTGCATCTGTTCGCATCGTATTCAAAAACTGAGGAACGAACACAATTTTCCAATGCGATTCTATCGCATTATACCTTTGCAAGTATGCTCTTTAAGCTTTCGGGAATTTTTGTATCGAATGAAAATAACAAAAACTGGTGGTTTTACAATTTGTCTACAACAATTATTCATTTCTAAACACATGTCAACACATGTTTTTAAATTATGGACTTTTTAAAAAAAGGTTTTATCCAATTCCTAATTCAATAGTCGGATAACATATTTTGAGTCAATTTTTTTTAAAATTACTCTTAAAATATTATACTTTAAATCTTAAATCCTATATGATTTTTTTGATGACAAAGTAACCAAGTTACACTCGGGGTCAAAAAGAGAAACGTAATACGCGTGTTAAAACAATCCCAGTCAAACTAGGGCTACATTTCCAAATAGGTTTTTCTACCAAACGAAAAATGTTTGATTCGTCTTATTGCAAGTCATAACAAAATCTGCTTACGAGTGCGATTGTCTTTCCATTACATTAAATACATTTTTTTGGCAGCCATATTATATAGTCTACGGTTTTAGTGAAACTTGCGATTTTTGTGATATGTTATCCCTGGAATCAGGGTATAATAATGCACGGAAAATTATTATTTTTTACCTAAGAATTAAAGTAATAAACTCAATTGTAGGTGTTTAGCAAATCAATACCTACAATATTTACCACATCTGTTGTTTTAATATTTCAATCATTCATACTTCAAATTAAAAACAGAAAAATGCAAATTTAAATTAAATAGAACAAGCTGCTCATTGTCAAATTACTCAATGGATAAGAAGGTAAATACCAAATATTCCTTTAGTTTTGCTCTTTGCACTGATTATTAAAAGCAAATATAACCTGCATTCTGAAATGTTTAGAGATGAAACTCGAAATCATTGAACCCAAATCTCTAACCATAGATAACATATCGTTAAAAGCACTACAGATGGATTACGCTCAAGGTGACGAAGCCAGTTTTACCGGTCAAATATCCTTCTAGTCGAATCCTTTCAAATTAGGCTTAATCACTTAGACTTGAAACAATTGTATAACGTTTTAAGTTGTCGAAAATAAACTTCTGTGCTAAGCAATAAAAATATTTCTTAGCAACAAAAAAAATTGTTTTTTTTTTTGTACACACTCAACAAGCCAATTGTGCCGCCATACTGGTATGTAATTTTTGCAAATACTAACTTCTTTGCTTGTATGAACGCCAAGGTTGACTTTGTTGGCTAACAAATGCGAAATTATAGTTAAAAATGTTGTCTTACGTTTGTCTAATTCATTTGAGATTGCGCATGTGCTGACTTCATTAGATGTTGATGACTGCGGCAGATTGCTGTTCCTACGCACATTTCGGATGCCGACATACCTTCCAGAGGCAGGAGAGCGACTACGCGAACGTGTAGGTCTTGAGCTTGATGCCCCGACTTGTGACTTTTGCGAGGTGTTACGTTTTGATTTGGACGGTGAAGTGGCAGGTGAACTTGATTTGCGCTTCATTGGTGTTGGTTGGCCATTAATAACATGATCATTGCGGGAGGAGTACTTTTCACGCAAAGATGCAGGAAAGGATGAACCTTTTGTAGAAGACGATACGGTAGAGCTGCTGCTTTTGCTACGCCTCTCCGACCCGGACGACGATGACGAAGCGTTTGAGCTTTTCGACGCGCTGCGTTTGCTTTTATTAGAACGACTGTGGCCGCTGGAACGTAAAGGCGACTTGCTGCGTGAGCGACTTTGTTTATGCACTGAGTTGGGGTCCTGTTCTGAATTGTTACGCAAGGATTGCAGTGATTGCGCCTGACGTGCTAGTCGAGGATCCCGATGACGGACTGAATTTAGTAAAGCGGAATTCACTGGGTGCACTTTTGGTTTGATTGTAGGTAGCTGTGCGGCGAAGCATGTAATCTGCGTTAACCCATGTAAATCTTAATTATATAATTAAATACACACCTTTTGGGTTGAGCTGAGCATATTAGACATCATTGATGGCGCTTCTGGGCCGACATGACAAATGCCAACTCTATTGTACAGAGCGCCAGTTTGTACCGGTACCGTTCCTAAGGGAGTCTCCAGTTCAGGCGTACGTAGCACTGTTCCCGATCCGGCGAGTGAAACTGACGGCACAGAAATAGAATCGGTAGCCTGTATTAGCTGCCGTTCTTGTTGCTCTAAGTGTTTTTTTGTTTGCTCCAATTCCAATTCCAATTTCCTTTTTTTAAGTTCGAGCAGTTCACGCGTTTTAGCCTGCAGGATCTCTTCCATATCACTGGTGAGTGTAGGATTTACCGGCATGGGAACTATGCCCTGTAATATTCCCAAAAATATTCAGTACAATAATGGTGCTTCTGTAGTTGTGGTACACTTACGGTTTTGAGAAAATCAGGATTAACATGTATTGCCGGATTGACGTGAATTCTGGGCGGCTGCTTAGCCGTAACTGGCCAATTGTTGTCCAAACGCTTAACCTTTACATCAAGTGCATACAGCTTGGATGGAGGGAATACATCGTTCCATGTTTGCCGAAGCGCGTACATTCGTTCGCGAACTTTCTCGAGAACCTGTGATTGGGAGTGTTGCACCTATGATGGTGTAATTTTTCAAGAAAGTAGTTTTACTTCTTTAGTTTATCGCTTACCGATTCAAAGGCGTTTAGAAAGATATTCACGATACATTGTCCAAACAGTTGTACATAGTTGCTTTTTACATTTTTAATAATCGAGTCTATTAAATATAATATAGGTAGTTTGTACTCGGGCGGGACCTGTTGGGATTTATGAGACACGTAAGAATTGGAATTTATTTACTTCTACCTCTCTAGGGACAGTAGATTGGTAGGAGAGGCGTCCTCGTGTTCTTGCTATGCGTGTATCACCGAAGATAGCTGCACAAGTCCAGTTTGCTATAAAATTGTGGTATCTAGTACTACAATATACATAACTCAAAGTTTTTTAAGCTCTTTAAGAGTTTATCATTTGCATTGATGGCACGCTCAAATGTATTTGGTATTCCTTTGGGTTTGAAGCAAGATGAGCTTGGCTCGAGATTGGTGATTTTTTATTAAATTCGTCTTTTATTGAAATGTCATATTTTTTAATTCATATTTTATTTATGGATTTTTTTGTAGTAACATTTTCATTTAAATAAAAGACAATCCGATGAAAATTGTTAAAGAACTTATTTTATTTATTTAGCTTTGTGGTTTACTTTAACCAAGTTAACCAGCTTGGTTTGGATAGTACCTTGTGCTAAGTATCCTATTAAACCATATTTCCTGTTAATATCAATATATCTATAAGGATTTATGTATTTAATTCGGTGAATGTATTTATATTGCACCAAACTTAAATTTATTACGTTTATATAGTGATAAATGAGCATTGACGAAAACAGGGGACACCAGATGATGTTCCTACTAATTATTAATATGTATGGGTTTGCCGCTCAATACTAATACGATATTTTCATAGCTTGTCTTTAAACACAAAAATAAATATCTGATATCATCGTATTTATTAGAATTCCTAACATTCTTTGGACATAGTGATCATGTAGTTACCACAACTGCCGTGCGGCATTTGTACGAGGACTAGGGCTGTTTTATTTATGATAATGCTTTATTTAACCTGGCTGATATGAAACTCCACCACACGTACAATTACGTGTGCATAGTTGATATTTTCTTCCGCCAACATCGTAAGCATGTTGATAAGAGGTTTGCTATTGCAATTTAAGTCCGTTAAGCTGGACATATACTCCTCACCAATGCGGCGCTCATCGTCTCGCAAAGATTGAAATATCTGTTCCATTTCGTATGTTATTGTTTTAGGATTGCTGAATTCCGTACCAGGCAATAATTGTTTTTACGTTTGTGCTAAAAATAAGAGGAAAGAACCATTAGACAAAATATATAACTTTATACCAATATAAAAAACCTTAACCTAATAGTTATCTGCATGTACCCACATACTTATGTATACGCAAATCTATGTCTGTGGATTCATAACACCTATACTCATAATCGTAAACAATCACGCGCATCTATGACATACAACTATGTATGTATATCTATACACGCTACATACATAAAACACATATGTCTGTATTTGTATACAATGAACAAATGAAAAAAGCGAGGGAATGGCAGTGGTGCAATTGTAGGTACAAATTCAATATGGCGTCCTACAAATTGAGTTCACATTTTCAAAACTATGAATATTAGACGTAATTGGTACGAAATACATTTATTTACTTTAGCGTAGTAATAAAATACATTTTTAATAATTTGGTATTTCGTCAATTCATTCTTTTTCTGGAGCTCGATTTGTTATCGTGATATACATTTTATCTGTACCTTCGGGGATCAAAACCCACTTCTTTTGTATTATAAGATTATTGACATACCTTTTTGTATCAATACATTTGAAATAAGTACTTGCGAAACAATCAATTATTACCGTACACTTTTTCACTATAAAATCAAATATAAGAAATTTTCACGTAACAACTACGATGTAAAAATCTTGATTGCTCTGTTTTAGAGATGTGAGCCGAGCTGTAAATCTATTGATGGCACTATTACTATTTATAAAATTGTTCACACTATCCAGTAGGGTTGCAAAAAAGCATAGATTTTTTTTACATCGCCGATTTTTTTTTATTATGATACTGGACTGTTCCCTATGTTTTTTGAGCGAGTTAATAGAATTAAAACGAAATATAAATTTTACATAAATAGCAAAAATAAACAAAAAAAAAAATATCGGAATACAATCGATTGTGTGAAACGTCGACGCATCGTACTTTATTTACAACCCCATTATCCAGGCCAGCAACAAAACCAATTTTGTTTTTCTGCTAAAACGCGCCCATAAAGCATGTGTGTTTCCCTGCAAGTTCCAAAGAATTTAATGATCCCTATACTACTAGACTATTTTACAGTTCATTGGTACGGCCTATTCTAGTATACTGCTCATGCGTTTGGTGTGCGCAGTACAAAACGCATCAGTATCGAATTGAATCTGTTCAAAAACAATTCCTTCTTTCTGATCTTCGTGATTTACGCTGGGATTCCAACCTTCATTTCCCGGCTTCCTCAATCAGGCTTCTGCTTACAAATCATCCTTCTTCGGAGGACTGTCCTTCGAGTTTTATTTTTCTCCAAACTAATTGTCGACAATCTTGACTCTCCTTTCCGTGTAGGTCGTCATAATTTCTCAGTGCGTTACGGAAAAACACGAAATTATCTTCCCCTTCTTCTTAAAAGATGTACAACTGATTATGCACCAGACAATTCTTTTTGGGTTTTATGCTCGACATACATTGAATATTTTCACCTGATCTCAACGGAATTGTCTCTTCCTTTAACACTCTAATTCGCAGTACTGCCATTTGGCGGGGCCAACAAAAAGTTCCATAAAAACGACCAAAAAAATATGTTTAGAATTTGCAAGATTAAAATTTTTTTTTATGCCGCAAGCCTTTGATTTATTTTGATTTCCAGTAATCAGTGTTTAAATAAAGAAAACATTTATGATACTGGTGAGTAGGAAATTTAACTATTATATGATATTCGTTCGTTCGGCATTGCAGGTTAAATTTTTCGGCATTGTTTGCTCTAAATCAGCGATGGGCACGTAGTGGCTCTTTGGGCTCCCAGGGCTCTTTCCGTTATGTTTTGGTAACTGGCGACAGCCAGACGCACAAGCAAAGTACCGATCTCGAGCAAACTTACAATAACAAAATACACGCAGTGTTGTCGCCAGCCAGACGCACAAGTAGATCGATGCAATAACAAAATACACACAGTGTGTGTACGTGTACTGATGATCGATTTGCAATACCCGCTGACGGTCACTTATGCATTGACATTCAAAGTGTATTGACAAATTATAAATTATAGTGTTTCAGTAAAACTTTTATGATTTTCGTCAAGTTATTTACTTATAATCTTACTTATATTTGATTTAAAACTGAACAATGGCTAATGAAATTAATATTTCCGAGATTGAGACGCGGTATTTTTTTGCCAGCAGTTATGTGTGCGAAGCTGTATTTTCAAACATTAAATATATTAAAAATGTTTATAGGAATAAATTAAGTGACGTAAATTTATCAGATGTATTACGAATTGCTTTAAGTGAAGAGGAAATAGACTTCGAAAAATTATTAAATGAATGTTCATAAATGTGATCAAAATTTTTTTCGGTGTACTTTTTTTTCCTAATTTTTTGCTCGCAGTTTATGATGTCCTCATAACCCAAACGGTAGTTTCTGTTGTAGATGTTGTTGTAGGACTCCAAAACTAAAATTTCGTGCCCACCGCTGCTCTAAATTTGTTAGTGATGTTTTCATACTTTTGTATTTGTATACCCTGTACCCAAAGGGTAAAAGGCAATACTAGTTTTGTGCGAATGTATGTAACACACAGAAGGAAGCGTGGAAGACCACACAGAGTATATACATATATTATTGATCAGGATGACAAGACAAGCCATGTCCATCCGTGCGTCCGTCTGTCTCTATGAACGCAAGGATCTCAGAAAGTAAAAGGCTTAGAATAACCAAAGTTGGTATCCATATTCTCTTAAGTCCGAGAAAGTGTGAGTTTGAATTTTTTCCGATGGCGTATGCCAAATTCCAATTTAATCGATTTTACCTCTTTTGGTATTCGAGCTCACGTAAAGGGTGTATAATTGCACATATACAAATTAGTGTTTTAATGACTATGGTTTGCCTTTCTTGCAAAGGGTTTTGCATATCAAAGCCGAGTTAACTAATATGAAAACTTGCGGACGATACGTCGCGAGTTTATTGGTTTCAGAATTAGACTCAAGAATACAATTATAAATTACAATAAGCTAAGCCCGCAGCGTCGCTGCCGCTGCCACAGAGTCGCCGCCGCTGCCACAGAGTCGCCGCCGCTGCCACAGAGTCGCCGCCGCTGCCACAGAGTCGCCGCCGCTGCCACAGAGTCGCCGCCGCCGCTCCCACGAAAGTGCAGCGTTAGCACCTCGTGGGCGGTGTCGGATGTCCGTCGCTGCCAACAGTGCAGTCACCACACATCTTTCGCAACCATGACTCTGGTCATTGGCTTTGCCAAAGTGCTGGGGCAGCAATTGCCAATCGTCAGTGGTTAACTACTCCCCCTCTCGAAGACCGACCGTCCTCGGTCGCGTTTAAATTTTCCAACATTTTCGCAATCTTCTGGGAGTTTCGACGTTTGCTTACCAGCGTACGGAGCCAGTAGATTCCAGCCCCCACAGCGCAAGCCAACAGCATTATGCCGAGGGAAATCGCCAATGTATTTCCGACTGCAACACTGTCTCTAACCTCTTTGATATAGTTGAGGTTATTCTCGCTCAGTCGATGAATGTAGGGAAGGCTGAGAATCGTGTCGTGGCCGCTGATGTTTAGAGATGGTACCGCGGCCACTACCGGGAACCGATTTTGCACGCTCTTGCGATTGAAGTATCGTGTGGCATTTACCGTGGCGTGGGACGCGAAGGTGACAAGGTTTGTTCCGTTCACCTCCGTTGCGGCGCAGTCGTCGTAGGTTAGCACCGCGCTGCGATCGTTTATGATGATGATGCCGTCGTCCACTATGGTGACAGGGTTAAGGTGGCTCGGCTGTGTTTGGCAGTGGGCCGTACCCCCTGCATGGAGGTCTCGTGCGCAGCTACTGTCCTTGGCCCGCTTGCAGAATGTGGCAGTAGTAGTTTGTGAGCAATTCGCCACAGCCAGCATTTGCCCGTCGCAATCAGCAACCAGATTGTCGTGTAGTCGAAGTACGGAACCGCCGTGGGCGACTGGGAAAATTGTTATCCTCCTGCATTGCTTGCTTATTATAGGGAATTCGATTATAAAACTTATTACATTATTCTTACGTTCTAACTTAATATTAGGCAACTTCAATACATCTGTTATAGGGGTCCCTGTAATTTGGTCAGTGAGAATATTCGCAAGATCAGAATGATCTACTATCGCTGGGTTTATTATATTTATCCTTTCTAAAGTTAAAGCAAGCATAAGATTCCCTATTTCTGTCATCATCATCCTATTGCGGTTTGGAAGAGTTTCAAAGAGGTAGCCGGTATCGGCCCGCTTATCCTTAGAGGACTTAATGATTCTGTTTACCGTGTCGGTCAGTTGGTTAATTTTTTCCTGCATTTTAGAGTTTATTGAAATTTTCCTATTGCTTGCAGTGACCAGCTGCATCTGTGTCAGTTCTGTCTTCCTAAAGTCGTCCGCGTCCGGGGTGCCCGCTACAACCTTAAGAGCTGTTCCCAAAAAGTTAAGGCTTCTTACACTGCAATGGTGCACATCGAGAGCAGACAACATGTCCAGTACGTGTCCAGTGTCAATTTCCAGCAGTCTCCTCATGTGGGATTGTGGAAACATATCCGTCAACTTCATAGTCTCCTCCGTCATTGTCCTATAGTCCGTGAGGTTAGTTGTATGCCGTAAGTATCCGTAACTGTCCCAAAGTAGAATGTCCCCGTCCATAATTGGTATGTAGTCCGCGTGTGTGTAGTCCGTTACCCGTGCTGTTGCCACAGACACGATTGAAAGTATGACAAGCGTAATCCTAAAATGTCGAAACTACTATTACTAAAAGAGCAATGAAAAAATGGTTTCTTAAATTCAACGGAGGTTGTCCTTGTGGACCACCCTCCCCTCAATGAGGACTGTTGTCCCCAAGTCCGCTTCGACCCTTTTTTCGACACTTGTTGCCCAGTCTGCGGTTTGTCTTTACCAGAACCCTTTCTCCCACTTCGAAGACTCTGTTTTGACGTTCCTGATTAGCCCTGGTGTTCTGCTGCATCTGGGCCCTTTCTATTCTACCCCTAACCTCACTGGTGCATTCCGGCGGAGAGTTAAGTAAGATGTCCTTAGCCCTCCTCTCAACCACTGAGTGGATGGATCTGTTGTACTATACCCCTTTGGAGTTTTAAGCACCTGGCAATTTCCAGAAGAGTGCTGTGGAAGCGCTCTACCTGACTATTAGACGTGCTGTGAAGGGGAGGTGCATTCACCACACTTACGCCGTAATTGTTCAAAAGCAGGGACCAAATGGTCTCAGATTTGAATGCGAGTTCATTGTCGCAATACACCTGCTTAGCCGAAGGGAACACATTCATCAAGACCAGCAGAGGCGGTCTCGTATCTTCTATTGTTCGAGACGCGATAGGCTGTACCACCGCAAATTTCGAAAACTTGTCAACGCAAGTTAGAAAGAACTTTTTGTCTGTTTAGAAGATGTCAATGTGTAACATCTCTCCAGTTTGTGAGGGAAGTGGCGTCTGGCCGAGTTCCTGCTTTTTCGGGTGTCTGTCGTACTTGGCTTTTGCGCAAATTCTACAGGCAAGTACTACCTCATTGGCCAATTTCGTCATTTTAGGAAAATAATATTCCGTCATAACCTGTTTCACATTCTCTTGTGCCGCCCTATGGGCTCGATTGTATTATTTAGTGATGATTTCTCTTCTATCACTGACATTAAACACGTCGGCCACGAAGTTTTGCAGAACC